GATTCCAAAAATAATATTATATACAGAGTGTTCCATTTGAAAAATCAAAGTTGCTACTGCTTTCTAATAGAAGCGGCAACACCGCATTGTCGAAAATATTTTAGTTGGCTAGAGAATGTCCGAATATGCCCTCCATTGAATTTTCAAAGTGATCCGTTGTCTGGTTCACCGGAAACGTCTAATGTGCCATCCACCGTGAATCAGACTGTATTTTACTTCTTTCAGTTCAAAGCAGAAGTTATTCTTCTGCTCACTGTAGGATAATTCTCTACAATTCAAGTTCAATATTCATATCCACATCCAAGTTTCTCGTGTTGTGAAACAATACCGATTCCATTCAGATTACACGAAGGTTTGAACCAAATAATTTCAAGTTTTGAAATCGACATATTGTAATACCAAACAAGATCTGAATTAGGTCCAGTCGATTAGTCCAAATGCATCAAAGATGAGTGCACATGTTTTTGCCACTCAACGACCTTGTATCATATCAGACTATTAATTTATCAAATTGAGGTCAATGTCACTGATGTAATTGTCTTTCTACGGTGTCTACCTGAAAGTAAAAGCGATTCATTTTCTCGAACCTGATGAAGTCTCAGCAGAAATTCGAATTGGAGTCGGTTAATTGCCGGAGGGCGTTTCAAAGAGTTATTCGACTGTTATTATCTCCATTTAATTATTTCAGATTAAAACGCTCTCAAATTAATGCCATCTAGTGCTCGCCAGGGATGTCAACGATTTAGTCCACTCGAACGATTCTGATTGTCTGGGGATATATAAACTAACGTGGGTCGTCGGAAACGACAAGCCGTTTGTGTGATGTTTTGAATTCGATTTGCATGATGAATTTTTCATCACGTCCAGTTTCCATGAATTTCTTTTATTCGATCCCATTATTGTGCAGAAAAAAAGATTTTTGAGGAAAATCGATTTTGGAGCGTTTAAGTTATCTGTTATATGCGGAACTTTCAGGAAAGAAAAAAATATTATGAATAAATCTTTCTATAAGATGTGAAGAACATTTGCAGAATTTGTTTGCGGATCCAAACTGGAAGAAAGAAATATGTCTGAAACAACCACATTACGATCGTCTTCAAATTTTCTTTTCCATTCATGACGATATAATTTAATGATTTTCACACTACAAACTTTACTAAAAGCGCATATCACTAAACAGATGCTTCTTCAGTTGAACGGGTACTTCAAACCATTCTATAATACGTTTTGAACAACAGTTATTAGGACAGAACTTGAATAGTTAACTATGAATAATCCTTGGTGAATTTCCTTGGTGTATTGCAACTACTTTTCTTAAAATATACAATGATTAATCGTTATAAACCAATTATGTTCTGTAAAAACTATTATATGAAATACATTGTAGAATAGTTTGAAGAACCAATTCAGCTGAAGAAGTTACTACGTAGTGAAACGCGATCTAAGTAAAATTCATAGTGTGAAAATTATTAAATTATCATGAAGAGTCAAGAATGGATTCAGATCTGAAATCCGAGATGGATGATTTCTGAATTTCGGGAGAGGTAACTCCCAGTAAAAATGATCCATATGTGGCAGAGTGTGCGGGTATATATCATTTTACTTATTTGGATGGCACTGAATGTTCAAAACGCGCGTTTTACCAACCTAGTTGGCGTCTTCAGGAGATGGAGTGAACTTATACAGACACACTTCGAAGATTTATGATTAAAAAAGGAAGAAGGAGAAATTATCAAATGATTGAAAAAAAAGGTTTCCATTTCTGAAAGCAGACGAAGGCGATCACTATGAAAGAATTTGTGTAATTGATGACTTGTTTATTTTGTGAAAATTCATCATCACTTGAAAGAAATTAATGAAAATACTTTTGCCTAATTTACGCTAGTTATTTCATTTTGACGACTAGTTTCGGGTTCCATCCCATTATCATATAAAAAAATAACTAGTTAGTTTCATTATTATGAGATGACTGATAGTTCTATTGATAACGGTTTCTATGATGGATTACCAAGGAACCAATTGCCAGAACTGAAAAAAAAACTCAAGAATTGTCAAAATTGGACCACACTGACATCGAGTGGGCGACTATAGGTTTCTTATCCTACAACTGCTGAAATAGGCGGTGTACGAAAAATTCATAAATATGTTAACTAAGTCGGTGCGTCCAATTATCTCCGCCTTAGTTCCCGTGGGTACTGTTAAACAGCTAACCAGACAGTTTCAAATTCGTTTATTCTCATAATTCAGTTGAGGTATTGTTAATTTACATGAACTGATAGATGAAATTGACAATTGAAATCAAAAGAGGAGTTATGTTATTTTCAGATGATATATTTGTGATTTTTGCGGTTACTAACTAACAATCGAAACGTGTTGAAGTAACTTGGTGTGGAATTTTTCAATTTTTAATTTTCTTCCCTTGTTAATAATTTTTTAATTTTCAATTCGTGGTAAAAGTTCAATTTTATGAAATGCACCCTGAAACATTGTCAACCACCTTTAAACAAATATGTTTTGATTATTCCATCACAATTTCAGCTAACAGTCCTAACTGTTCATAGACAGAGGAGAGAGACGTTCGTTTTGCTCATTAACACGCCTAGTTAGGACTTACACTTGAAGTAAAAATTCCAGTTGATTCAATTTGTTGAAAAAATAAGAAAATACATACTTCGGGTTCTATGGATCATTTTCGAACATATGCTTGAAAAAAAAATTCTTGGTTGTTTTGAATTTACTTCGGAAGATTTCTTTGGACACACATCTCACATGCCAATTAGGAATGGTGATTACCAGCTGAATCTTGGCCGGGGAACAACCGCCAACATCACTGAAATGCAACAGTTTATTGTTTATCTTGAAATCTCCGACACTGTAGTGTATTCAGAAAATGGTTATCTTCAAAGTATCAATCCAGCAAGATTGCAGGAGGAACTTTTCATGTTGGATTATACTTCTATCTGTGAAATAATTGAATAGAACTGGCCGATACTTGATGAAAATCCATATTGAAACTCATTAATACAGTTTGATGTATGATTTTCACTATTTATTTATAGTTGAAATCATACAAAAAACGGTATTGATGAGTTTTGAATGAAACCAACTAAGATTATCAAGGTGTACCTTGAAGAGAATCCTCTTATAGGAATACAAGCTCAGCGTCCAATGAACCGAACCTAACATAGTTATTACTGCCTAAAATATAAAGTCCAACTCTGTTGAAATCAATTCTCTCATCGAAATTATTATATTTAATATTATATTTCACATTTCTGAAAATTGTGTTATTCATAGAATAAAATTAATCAGAATTTTTGTGTATGTTTCGATGCTCAACTCTACAAATCGTGGTAGTTTTTTGAGGTGAGTATGAAAGAAGTAATTAGAGTGTCAAAATAAATATTTTTTCTGAAAACCTTTCGCATATTTTTCGAGACAATATTTGAATCTATCGAAAACACATCCCCAACACCAGCCCCAACAAGAATCACGGTCTCTCGACGAGCGTTTCGCTAACCAAGTTAGGATCCTCAGGAGATCATTATGACTAAATTTCACTACTTTGTCAATGTTCTCATATGCTAGTGCCCTAACCACTACCAGTTAGTATAACCTAACTACACCGGTTAGTATTATCTAACTACTACCTGTTATTAATCCTATACAAACCTACCTATTTTGTAATACCTCTGATTTGTTATGTTTTTTCGCTGTTTGCGAATATCTCTAATGTTTATCTGTTTTTCATTTGGAATTATTACGTATGAGACCAAACAAAGATCTGTTCGAAATAAGACCTTCGTGCTGTTCATAGAACTCATATCGCACTTTTCGATTTCGAAGGCATCCAGTAACATGTTTTCATTTACCGGTCTCAACAATTTAAAACATTTCCCACTTACTATATAGTCGTTCTCTATGACATGTTGAGTGACACTAGATTTCTATGTTTTATGAAATCGAAACTGCGAAAGATGTTCCTAGTAGCGAGCTTATATAGTCCGTTTGGTTTGACCAACATATTTCTTATACAATCCTTGCAGCTTATTTCATGAATCCCAGACTTTTTTTTCCAACGTCTTGTCTTTCGGACTGCCCAACACTTGTTGAAATGTACGTGCAGTTTTGGAAGCCACTCTTATATTCAATTTTTTGTATGTTCCGACCAACCCATTGGTGTATTTGGGTTCATATAGGAGTACCATTAAAATTTTTTTGCAACAAGTCGAGGCATTGCAAAGATACTCCCTGAATTTTTGTTTTCCAATCAATTCATCCCCTAAATTTGATGGATACTCGTTGCTTTCAGTCCCCTCCCCATCAATTTTTTCCCAATCTAATACCTTTCTTTGCTCTAAAGAAATGTAAGCAGTCTATGGACAAGAAATTGTGGTCCCGCCATTTTCCGTGGTGGGTAATGAGCTGTCTGGGTTATACTTGAAAGTGCTCGTATACTTTCTATATACATCAAACCCTAGACCCTTATCGACATATCTAAAAACTAGTATATCCAAGAATGGTGGTTCTTCGTTATTTTCGATTTCATACATGAAATCGAACTTGCAAATCTGTTAATGAGGCACAATAGAAAATCATTCACCTTACACCTATTCGCATCGAAAATGGCAAATATCTGAAGTCTGATGTAACAAACTTGTGTTAATGAGGTTTATCCAGTTTTCAATTCATATAGACATCTTTATATAAATGAAAGTACTAGAGTTTATGAATTAATTTACTAACAAATATCAATATATGTACATAGTCAAGTCTCAATCTTAGTGGTAGTATTGAGCAACTGGAGCAGAGTATGCTACTTTGGCGATAGCGGGTTGGGCATAGGCAAGTGGAGCGGCAATCTTAGCTATTGGAGCTGCGTAGGCAACTGGGGCAGCAACTTTGGCAACAACAGCTTTCTGGACGAGGGGGTCCCTGTTGACAACAGCATTGAATCCGTTTACAGGGTCAGCAGTGTAGTCAACGGTACGTCTGAAACCATCGGCGTCAATGAGAGAGTAGCTACCTTGGACTACGTCACCGTCACGGGATTCGCGTTGGCTTTTGCTGTCTCCAGTCAAACCGTCTTGGATATCGTAAGCGTAATTGTACTGTGGATGTGGGTCGTATTCTTCGGAAACAACAGCTTTAGCTACAGGAGCGGCGTACGCAACTGGGGCGGCATAAGCTAAAGGTGCGGCTGGAATTATTCCAGCTTGAGCAGCGGCCAAACAAGCAGCGAAAGTAATGAGCTGAAAAGTTGTTGATTATTGAGTGGAAATTGTTACTGAAAAGATGCTGAATTGATTTTTGTGAATATCAATTCCATTTTTATATGTATTATTAACTTTCAAAATTGGTATTCATTGATGAACACTACCTTTCCAAATAATTTCACCTCACTGATTTAATTTTCAATGCATATTTAAGAAAAACAAATGAAAAATTTGTTTGTAGCAATGCTTGAATTGTTAATGTAAGCTCCTTGTTTTTTGTATTGAAAAAAATACTAAATATATCATACAGATGTTGATACTGGTTGAATATAAAACATTTTTCACTTTCCTATATTATGATATTCTCTTCAAATTGTAAGGGTATATTTTTAGGAGAGAATAATTTTGTAAAAGTTGAGAAGTTGAAAGCCAAAACCTTTTTGTTATATCTCATTTTGTTCTCCTTCCTCAAAAAGTGAGTACCGACACTGAAAAAAAAAATGAACGAATCACCTTGTTCGAATGGCTTATCTTCGAATGTTATGAAATGTTAATTGGAATTGATACTGGGAAAGGCAAAAAAACACTCTTAAATGTTTTCCTCACACAATCGACACATCAATGAAGTTTTTGGTTCAACCATATAAAGAAAAACATTCATGAGATATTTCATATACTTCAAGTGAATACTTACTTTGAATGCCATTTTAGATTTAGTGATTCTACCGAACAGTTTCAGGCAGTGATCGAATTAAAATTTCTGAAATTTTTATATACCAACCACTGCTCCAGTTTCTCAATACTTTAGGTCCGTGACCCCCAAAATAAAATCGACTTCGAACTTAATAGTTGGGGTACAACTTTCACATTCTGCGTGAAGGTGTTACCTTACAATTCATCGAAATTGAATTGATTGCTCCGGGAAATATTTTTATTCTGAATAAGCGAGAAAAAGCTGAAAAGCTCATCAATTTCTTATCACTCGGAACAATAGCTTTTTTTAGGCAGGTTTTCGAATGTAAAATAACTTTTTCTTTAGCGGTACGAAGTTGAGAAATTATTATAAATATTACTGGAGTTTAATCCCAACACCAAATCGTGTTACAAATAACGGTTTGGTGTTGGGATTGAACTTCAGTAATATTCATTACTACACCAAATGTTTAAAACAGTGCATCACATGAACAAATTTACTCTAGATCTACAGTACATTTATTCAATGTCCCCCCTTTCATTGTTTGAAAGGGTCAACTCAAAATATTTAAATTTAAAGTAATGAAATTAATGCACGGATACTTTATTTTGAAGTGAAATTGACAAATGAAAGTTTCAAGATGGCGACTGGGCGCCATCTGGGAAAAAAATTTAATGGAAAGGGGGGTCTCGTCACACATTTTTTGAAGCTCGCGACAAATGCTTCACAAGCCCAGAATATAATGTCAATATCTTCAATTACTACAAATTGGCGGAACTTTTAATAATTGCCTGAAGACAAACACATTAATATCGATATTTCTAAAAATATTCCTTTTCATCTGCCATATTGCAATTCCAACAACCCAATAAGGTTTGTTAAGTTATTTTTATCACCAATACTCGAAGAACTTCGGTAATATTTTCAACGAACTAGGTATGAAGCTAGTTTTTAAAACAAGTCATACACTACAAAGCCTTTTAGAAAATTCAAAAGACTGGAAAAGTCTGGAATGCACAAAATTGAATGTGAGGACTGCGATGCAAAATATTATGGACAGACGAAAAGATCTATCAAAATAAGATATAAGGAATACTTAGCACAACTGAAATATGGAAGACCAGAACAATCAGCAGTTGCCCATCATATTTTGCAACAAAACCATTTCATGGACTTCAATTCAATAAAATTAGTTAGATCAGTTAACAACAACAGGAATCAAGATGCCTATGAAACTGTAGAAATAAGTGAACATAACAATATTATGAATAACGATGGTGGACCAATACCTAATAGTATACTATATAGCTTGTTGAAATAATATTTTGATATCATCAAAATATTAAGTACGTACTATGTGTATGTGTATTTGTATCATAATTCGAAACAAGAGTAGAGCTTTCTCTTCCAGTTAAGAGATAGGTCGAAATGTTATGGAACATATGAATGCTGCGTCTTGTTATGATATCAATAACGCTGCTGAAACACGTACACTAGTAGAAAGATGTTCCATGTTTTGACATTTTCAAACGGTTTTATTTATGTTGCCCTGTTTGTTTGGGTCAAATTTAGTAATTGAAGATCAACTCCCTTCCTGTTGACAGATTGATCTGATATTTGGTACAGACATTCAGTTTTGATGACAATACAATTTACTGAATTTTATATCATTGTAAATCCAAGATGGCCATACCTACAAAATGGTGGAATAATAAAATGATAATAATTATCTCTTTATTCATTGAATGAAATAACGAGAAAGATACTTACCTGCTATAATGGTATCGAGAGCATCTATTCCTCCAATATAAGCAGCATACGTGATGGATGATGTATTGGACACAGTATTACCAGTCTCGTCTGTCAAACCTCTTTTTTTAAATATGTAGACGACGAGATTTTCGATACCCTAAACAGTTATAAACCTTACATTCAGTTCACGATTGTAACCGAAGATTACTTACAATCAGTACCTTTCCTCGATACAAAGTTCATCGGGACAACAGATAAGAGAGTCTCAAATGACTAGTACAGAAAACAATGTAGCTCAGGTAGATACATGAACTACCTATCGTATCACAAACATTCGGTGAAAGTGAAGTTAGTGAAACAGCTGAAAAATAGAGTGCTAAAAATCTCGGATAGAAGTTTCCACAATGAAAACCTTAAAATTCTTTCAAATGTTTTCATATAAAATTCCCATCCTTTTCGGTTGATAAATAATATTTTGTTCAATACATCTTCATCTCGAGAAACTTCCAATTCAACTACCAATGTAACTACCTATTCTATCAATGACAATACAACTAGTGATGCCCCCAGCCAATACATGTTCACAACCTTACCCTTCATCAAGGAGATCACTCCCAAACTATCTAGGATATTTCAAAGTTTACCGAACATAAAAATAGCGAACAAAACAGTCCTAACCATAAATTCAATACATAGCAAAGTCAAAGACAAGGTCATCTCAATAAATCAAGTGAATGTTGTGTATAGTATTCCGTGTCAATCATGTGATAAGATATGTTGGTCAAACTTCGCGATCATCAGCTGCTAGAATCACTTCTCACAAAAGTGACTGTAGATTACACCCAGAAAGATTTTCTTTAGCAGACCATTTGAATGAGTTTGACCACCGTAAGGATTATAACTCAATGAAAGTGTTAACCACTGAATCAATCTCAGTAAAGAGGTCCTTTCTAGAAATCTACAATTTTGAAAACAACAATTGTATGAACAAAAGCTGAGTGGAATTTATTTCTACTTATTGATGCTAGTAAAGAACTTTTACAATAAGAATATCAATTTGAACAATTCTATTGTATAATTCAGACCTCACACACGATGTCAACGACGGTCTGAAAGAGATATGTTTCAACAAAAAAAACGATAATTCAGAAATGTATATCAATTTTCATCTTCTCCAACCTACATAATATGGGGCTAGTGGACACACCTCTATGCAGGATGTGTGAACAGGAAGATGAGACTGTCAGGCATGTCCTGTGCGAGTGCCCGGAGTTATCGTCAATAAGAGAGTGTGTGTTCGGCGAGTCTTGGCCTACACCTGCCGATATAAAGGAGATGTCTCCCAGCGACCTGTCCACCTTCCTGGAAAGGACAGAATGGACGACGACCTAGGAGGACAACTCCTCGGGAGGATGTACAATGGATCACATGTGGCCTAAGTGCATGGGCTTACACTCACCCTCCCTACTCTACAGAAACAGATACAGATCTTCTCCAATGTCTCATCATTTCTTCTTCAACATCAATCTGTTTGAAAAAAATTTGTTTTTCCGTTAATCAGCTGTCGCCCCCATACGAACGACAACTCTCAAAAGTTGAGAAACTTGTGCGAGCTAAGGACTAACGAGGTCTTGCCTTTTAACGTGTGATTCCTGATACGTAACCATAAATAGATAAGTACTATTCTGATCATTCCCATATTGATTTCCATTTAAGAGCCACCGGTAGACAGCTGCTTCAGCCTATTGGGCATCGCCAGTACCGGGAAGACGGTCCTCGATTGAAGGCAAAATGTGAACAACCAAAAAAAGTACTGAATAAAAATAATTCTTTAAAATAATCTCCAGAAAATCAAGTGACTTTGTACCTATTTTATTTTGATGTTTCGTGATTTGATATTATTGAATATCAAGTTCTTGTTACAATACTGGCATAATTTTGAGTAATTTCCGGTGTTAACAAAAAATAAAAATAACTTTGCACCAAAAACTTTGAAAATCATTTCACTATTCAAAAAAATTGACCGTAACACCGTAGTTGTGTAATTCGTAATATCACAGGCTTTTAAAATAAACCGTCGTATACAGGATGCTGCTTATTCCTCGTTTTTTTCGTAGTCCCCATTTAAAAAAATGGGTAAAAAAATAAAACTCCACTCAGATGGCCATGACTTCAAATCTGGATGTATTTTTTGATGGTGAACAACTTTTCTAGATAACATTTCCCGAAATTTTTCAAAATAAGAGTACTTTACTCACAAAATCAAATATTTGAAGGCTCCTCGTATATTACGTGTATTCTACCGTATTTTGTTACTGCATGTTCAGTTTTAGGGGATGCACAAACTTCTATCAAGAATAACTTTTTGTCGAAAAACTCATTAAATAAGTTTCTCATATGGTTCCCCAATTGTGACATTGTTAGACTGTAAAGGAATTATATCCAACTGGTTGTTAATGTTGATTTGAACGTCAATGGTTGACATACTAAATGAGATCTTCTTAAGTAGAGGATCCGGGTGGGAGATATAAATAAATAATTGGAAAAGTATATATAATTTTTTTTTATGAAAAGAAGGATCGGAAATCTGCAGAATGCGATTTTTCATCTGTTTGACTAAATTAATTTTCGTTGACTGCTTGTGGTATGACCAATAGTTCAAGAGCCTACCAGAAGAGATAGGCTTGCGATACCAATTTATGAGTAGAGTATCATCTGGTGTTCTGCAACAATTATGTAATTGCTAGCTTAGATGTTGTATCTCTTTTTAGCAATGTCTATTTAGACACTTGTCTCAGATCTATTGATAGAAAATGGGGATGTATCAGCCAATTTTGTGATATTCATAAAGACGATTTTCTCCAACTTATAACTTTCCATTTTATTAATACATATTTATCATGTGATGGTAAAATTTATAAACAAACTTTTGATTAATTTTGTTACAAAAAGGCTCAACTCACTGTTGGTGAGAATGGCCGTGTCAAAAAGAATGTTACATTTAAACAGTCAATAAACATGTCAATGAAATAAAACAAGTTACCAGATTGAAAGAAAGTTTTGACCATAATAAAATCGTTAAGGTTTGACATTATAATTTACTGGTAAAAGCCATGTGGCTGCATGCCACAGAGAGAGATAAAAACAATTGACACTAACAGCTGTCCTGATATTCAATTTGAAAGATCGTTCGTTTGTAAGTTTATGTTTCAGTGTGGAACAAAAGAGAACAGTTATGGTGCAAGTGTGATCAGTGAAGTAAAGCCCTGCCTTAGGGAAGTTGACTATGTAT